AAGAGTGTTCATTACAAAATTGCAAAATAAAACCACAAGAGGCAATTTGACAAAGGCATTTATGAGGCAATTGAGGAAACTTGAACACAGACTGGGTGTCAGACATTAAGGAATTAAAATCCTTATTTAGAAATAGGTCCTGAAATATTTACAGGTAAAATAATATGTCTGGGATTCGCTGTAAAATACTGAAACAAAGAAAGGAGAAAAATAGATGAAATAGCAATAGTAGAATATTGATAAATGTCAAAGCTTAATGATGGTACATGTGCATTCTCTGTTATTCATTCTTGAGTATATTTGAGATTGTCTGTAATTAAGAAAAATTTTAAATGAGGAACTTGTCCACTGTGGGAAAAGAGCCTTTAAGGAATTCATAAAGGAAAGCAGACAGTAATTTACATAACTTAGTTTGTTTCAGCCCAACACTGGTCCATCCTCTGTATACCTTGCAAAAATCCTGTTTTTTCATTACTGCCATGCAAAAGGTTATCTGAGCAGAAAGAGATTTAAGTGAAAGAGCAGAGACAGAGGTTTTGGGCTTCATGTTTCACCACTTGCTGGCAGGTACTAGCTAGCTTTCTGGTGTTCCTGAATTTACAAAATGCATGTAGATCTCTTATCAGCGCAAATGTAGTTTGCTGTCAGTAGCTACTAACATTTCCAAATGTGAATCAGGCACCATCTTCCCCTCATGCACATTCTCATAAACAGCACAGCTTTTTTTATCCTTTGTAAACCTGCCTCTTCCTCAGCGTGAAAGGTCCCTGGATTTATAACTGCTTTTATTTGGGGTATGCAAATTTTACAGTTTTTGTAACACGTGAGAGTCATGTATGATATTCCAAGGATGTGTTCTTATTTGTTTATTGAGAATTGTGTATGATATTGGTATATCATACTAATATCCTTAGTAGGATGTGTTCTTATTTGTTTATTCATTATTTTCTCCTTTTTCCATTTTTCAGTACATGTACTAGCCTTAGCAAGTTCTGTTCCAAACTCAGGCACCTTGACTTGGCTTCCTGTACATCAATAACAAACATGTCTCTAAAAGCTCTGAGGTAAATTTCTTACAACAAGAATGTCCAATAATCAGAACAGATACTTATTTTTTTATTAACTAAAATAAAGTTGGAATTGAAGGAAACTATGTTTTATAGATACGTACTGTAGCTCAAAATAGATCTTTTGTTTTACTACTTGCCCAAATTACAGGACACATTCAGGTGAAATGGTAGAGGTAACTAGGATTTCTGAACAGAATAGTACAGTTTGTACATGAATGAAGTGCTTAGCAGGATTCTGTATATATAGTAAGTGCTCAGTAAGTTTTCATTGTTTTAATGTTACTGTATTTTTTAAAAGTACATTACAAAAAGGTATATCTTAAAAGGAGGGTGAAATGCCCAATGTCTTTGTACTTTTACTTTTTTATCAGCCTTTTATAAAAGATCATGGTGCCATGTATTAGCTACACTTATGAATAGTAAGAATTAAGCCATTAAAAGACGAAATGTAAATTTAGTTAAGTAGAGTGTAAGTAATCTGAAAATGTGTCTCCTTCTATACCTTCCTTATGAGCACTGAACACATGTATCTAAGGCTGGTGTAGGATAATAAATAAGATAGTATAACAGTGTTTATAGTTCATAAGTAATTCACATAAATGATCTCATTTATTTTGAAATCTTGTGAGGTAGATAGGACAGACACTTTACAGATAAGAAAATCTAAAACATTTTTGAATGCCAGGTACTGTGATTCAACCATGGGAGGTAGCTGAATAAGATATTGTTGCTGCCCTTAAGTTGCTCAGAGTCTCGTAGAAGAAAAAAAAACTAAATGTGTTGTCATATTGCAGCGGGATAAGTGCTATGGTAGAAATGAGTGCATTAGTTTGGGGAGAACATAGAAGGGCTACTGCTAATCTTGGTTTAAGAGAGGTTCTGTCAGGCTTCCCGAAGTGACTTGCCTGAAGTCACACTATTAATGTTGAAGAATGAACTTGAACCAAGATCCCCTGGCTTTATTTTATAAAACAATTAAAGCAGTATTTTCCAAAGAATGCCATAGAGCTTGGGATTCTTCCATAGTTTAAACGTGAAATCAAAGATCAAAGATGAAGCTAGTGTTTGATAGAAGGCAGAGATCTAATAATACAATATATCCTAAATTCAGCCTGTGGAAACTGTACCCTAGATACTTCCCAAGAGAGAGAATTTACAGATCCTTTGTAATTTTTTAAATAAAAGTTTAAATGGCCTCATTATTACTTTGATAAGTACTTGAATTATTTGATAGAGAATTTGAGTTTGAATCTGACTCTTCATTAATTACTCTGTTAACTTGAACCTGTCCCTTAATTTTCCATTTCCTATATAGAGACCGTTAAATTTGTGATAAGTGCAAAAAGAATATACTTTGAAAAGTATAAACCTCCATAAAAATCTAATGTATCTGAAAAACAGCATTGTGCCTGAGCTTGTTAGTTAAGGTGGGTTTGAGCTAGCTCTCCTAGTGATGTAGTCCCACATGAATACCACAAACGTTGATAAATGCACCTTTTGTTACAGAATTGCCTGTATTCTAAATCTACATTAAGTAAATATGTCCCCAACTAGATGGCCAATAAAATGAGACTTTGGTGCCTTTGGAATTGGATTTAGTCATATGTTTGTTTCATTTTGTTTTATCCTAAGTGAGGGATGTCCACTGTTGGAGCAATTAAACATTTCCTGGTGTGACCAAGTAACCAAGGATGGTATCCAAGCACTAGTGAGAGGCTGTGGAGGTCTTAAAGCCTTATTCTTAAAAGGCTGCACACAGGTAATACTCCCTGTCTTACTTGTGAATGATAGAAGCACCATGAACTTGGTGGGCAGCCCAAGATGTTGGCTTGAGAGATACGTAGTAGTTGTGTATTACTGACCAAAGACCCATGCTTACCAAAAATTAAAGGGTTTTCCCTAGAGTGAAAAAATAGAAGAATTAACACCTGCCTGACCAAAGATAAATTTTTGAGGGGAGGCAAGATGGGAAGACAAAATCATAATACGGAACAGGTGCCACAGGCAAGAAGGGTTTCATGTAATTTAATCTGAAAAGACAACTTGTCATGTTGTCACTGCCTGAGACCTTGAACTGGATAGGCAAGGAAGACGGTCTTGGCAGTTTCCACTAGTTTAACCACCAAGAGCTTTTCTTAAATGTGCCAAGTATACAGCAAGTTACATTTTATAGTGTTGATGCTTATCTCCTGCCAGTCACATCACAAATCCAACATATTTTGTCATTAAAATGTTTAATATCTCAGTGTTTTACAGTGGGAAAAAAAAGGAATTGACATGGTAACAACACCTGGAAGGAAGTGATCAAGAGTGGGTTTAGAAGTGACTGACAAAGTAGGGCTAGGCTCTTATTACCTTATTTTATTAATGGTTGCTAAAACCATGCCTTGTATTCTATTAAAAAATGCCCTATTCTTTCACCATGAAGGGAGGATTTCCACAGTTTGAAACAGAGCTTTGAAAGTATGACCGCCTTAAAATACCAACTTGAGCTCCTGGTTATTTATGGAATCCTGAAAAATATTGATTGGGATGCATCATTATAGTCAATTACTTGCGATCTGTTCTCCGCACTGTACGCATAGCACTGATCTTCCAGCAGCAGATAAACTACAGATTTCTTTCTCAGCTCCTGTTCCCAAAAGTTTGTTGTTAAGAAACTTTACAGGGAGTGTAGCAATGTGAAAGTTATTTTAGTTTCAAAATCCCTCAGCAAAATGCTGCAAGGCATCTTTAATTTATCAGAAGAAAAATCCATAAACATTAGGCAGTGTTTATTTTATCTTTCCCTTGGTTTGGTGATAATATGAATTTGATGTGGTCAGAACTGATAACAAATACTGATAACTACTAATCATTTGAATTACACGTTTATGTGATCATAGTTCATCATTTCTGGTTCATTTGTTCATTTGAAAGTTGGTTGGCCATATTTAGAATGTGTTGATGAATGTGTACACTCTTAAATCTTTAAGATTTAAGGTTTTAATATTTTAAACAATGTCAGTAATCATTTCTTCTCTCTTTTTAATCTTTCTAGCTAGAAGATGAAGCTCTCAAGTACATAGGTGCACACTGTCCTGAACTGGTGACTTTGAACTTGCAGACTTGCTTAGTAAGCAGTCCTTCCCACAACTCTTCTGTATTAGTAATTCATTTCAATAATATTATTGTAAGAGTTTCAGTCATAAAGACATAAAGTTTGTCTACATCAACCCTGGGGACGCAATAATCATAGGTGACTTTTTAAATGCTCAACAGTACTCGCCTCTAGGGGCTTTGACATAGATGAGGTAGAGGGTAGCTTATACAGAATTCCAAATAAGCTAAACTGTAGCTCCACCCCTTTCTCTTCTACTTAAGAAAACTCTACTTTTTAGAAGTAAATTATTCACAGACTTCGGCATTTAAAATATTTTTGGTAAATTAATTGCAGTCACACCGACTCACATCTATCAGGGAGTAATGACTATTGGGAATCATTGATAAAAGCAGATGACAAGCAAAATGTACCCTTTAAATTATTTTCAAGTAGTATTTGTAGTTCACATTAGGCTGGTTTAGACTATCAGCTTTTTTGTGTCTATCCCAAACCCCCTGAATTTTGTTCAGAGAATTTGCTGAAACTATTCAGGATCCTAGAACATTGACAAATACACCTTTAGCTTTTCCCTCTTGCCTTGAAAATTGCATATATGTGTTGCCTTGGAGTGAGAGCCTCTCATAGCAATGAAAAAAGTTGGTGAGGGTTTTCTTTGTTTTTGCTAAGCCTTCTGTGTATAATACTCTCTCCTTCTTGTTTGGTCACCTGAAACTTTAGAGCATAGTGGTTGTTTAGTTTAAAGGTGACACATATAGGGCCACGTTTTGTGCAATTTAAGCACCCTGCCCTCCCAGCCCTTAAGGGATGGTGCTGATAGCGATCTGTTTCAGAGGCTCCTAGAGACTAGTTAAGGGAATGATATTTTGATTTCCATAGTTGCTAACTACCAGAATTTGCCTACTTTCATTTATGAAACAAATATTTGGCCTGAAAGAAAGCTCTTACACAGCTATTGTAAACACGAAACCATCGTCTTACAGTGACAGGAAAAAACTGTTCTTGCACATCTTCAGATTTTATTTATATACATACATAAATATACACATGTGCACTCTGTATATGTGTGTGTGTATATGTTATGTATCTACACACATACATATAAATACATATATACCATACCTACCGTTTGCCGTTTTAGTTTCATTTCCTTTACCCTTCCAGCAGACAGAAACCAATTAGTAAGCATAAAGAACCAGCTCTGTCATATGTTTATTTTACTGTTTACCTTCACCCAGATCACAGGGCATGAGTCATTCCTTCTGTCATTCTGTACAATGTGATGAAATGATTCTCAGCATTCATGACACTTCCTGAAGTTTCTGCCCAAAACTATTGAAGTGACCAAAGTACACACTTAATGTAGTCTCTTTTTCTTGACTAATTTGAAAACATAAAAGTTTAGTAGATTTTGCTCTTTTAACAATTTAAAGTATTGGTAATATGACTTTCTTCCTCAGTAATCCCTTATAGATTTCAAAACATTAAGAAAGAAAAGTCAGCACAGCCCTCCCAGTATTTTGTTAATAATGTGTGACACAAACTCCGTTGGCCTGCTAAATATGCACGTTTATGGATTGCTGCTTCTCTCTTTATTTACATTTCTTTCAGTTATCCTTGTTTAGTAATAACTATACGTCACATTTGTGTGGCACTTTTTTTTTTTTTGCGGTACGCGGGCCTCTCACGGACCGCCTCTCACGGAGGCGGTACGCGGGCCTCTCCGGAGCCTGTTGCGGAGCACAGGCTCCGGATGCGCAGGCTCAGCAGCCATGGCTCACGGGCCCAGTCGCTCCGCGGCATGTGGGATCTTCCTGGACCGGGACATGAACCCGTGTCCCCTGCATCGGCAGGCAGACTCTCAACCACCGCGCCACCAGGGAAGCCCCTGTGTGGCACTTTTTTAAGGTACTTCTACATGTGTATATGCCTCATCAGTTTATTCTCATGACAGATCTTGTATCTGCCTTAGCATCCATTTTTCATCTGTATGTTGTTTCAGTTCTGTAATACTGAGAACATACTGATTTAGGCAGTGAATATTTAAAGTTTGATTTTTTTTCAGTTGTCCTTGCAACCTAAGAATACTGTTTGATTAAACAGAAATGACAGGAGAGCTTTATTCTGAGGCTTACACAAAATTAGCAAATCTATCAGGACAAATTAAAATGCTGATCATATCCAACATGTTAAGATTTTTATATATGACATCTTTTTTTAAACGTAACATCTTTTGTGTTCTTTTTTCATTTTAAAATAATTTAAAATAATAATTTTAAAACATACAAAATTATATTTGAGTTGGATACAACTATTTATCTCCATTAAATTAGGATAGTCTTTTTTTTATACATCTTTATTGGAGTAGAATTGCTTTACAATGTCGTGTTAGTTTCTGCTGTACAACAAAGTGAATTAGCTATATGCATACATATATCCCCATACACCCTCCCTCTTGAGCCTCCCTCCCACCCTCCCTATCCCACCCCTCTAGGTGGTCATAAAGCACCGAGCTGATCTCCCTGTGCTATGCAGCAGCTTCCCACTAACTACCTATTTTATGTTTGGTAGTGTATATATTGTCAGTACCACTCTCTCACTATGTCCCAGCCTCCCCTTCCCCCACTGTGTCCTCAAGTCCATTCTCAACATCTGCATCTTTATTCCTGCCCTACCACTAGGCTCATCAGTACCAATTTTCTAGATTCCATATATATGCGTTGGCATACAGTATTTGTTTTTCTCTTTCTGACTTACTTCACTCTGTATGACAGACTCTAGGTCCATCCACCTCACTACAAATAACTCAATTTTGTTCCTTTTTATCGCTGAGTAATATTCCATTGTATATATGTGCCACATCTTCTTTATCCATTTGTCTGTCAATGGACATTTAGGTTGTTTTCCATGTAGGATAGTCTTTATATTATAAAACTAAAATTTAGAAATAAATGGATTTATGGTTGATGAGATTACAGCTATGATCCACAGGTTGTTTCATTTTTTTAAAGTACCTTAATATCAGTATCAATTTTGAACTTGTAAATACGTTTATACTATTAAAATACTGCTGTTTTTATCTGTTTTCTAGGTTTTAAAATCTTTTAATTGAACCTACACCATGATGCCCCCCATCTGTTCCCAGTCTTGTCAGTCCCATTAGGTTAAAAGAACCCTGTTATAGCTTCTTCCCTTTGCACCAGAAATGCACAGATTCTCTTGAAAACTAAATCAAAAGGAACTGGAAGGAAGAAACAAAGTGTATTCATTTTTTTAGGTCTGCTACATGGTTCATATCAAATCTGCTTTTATTTCTTTTTGGCACTTATTTCACAGAGGTAACTTTTTTCTGTCTTTATCTTCTGCCAAGTTACTAATAACTATGGGTTTTTCCCTCTTGTTTTTTCTTTTAGCAAATCACAGATGAAGGTCTCATTACTATATGCAGAGGGTGCCATAAGTTACAGTCCCTCTGTGCCTCTGGCTGCTCCAACATCACAGATGCCATCCTGAACGCTTTAGGTCAGAACTGCCCACGGCTTAGGTAAACATTTCTTGTTTATCTCAAAAAATCAGGGGAAAGGAGCAGTGGCCTCCTTCACTCATATTTATTCCTTGGAACCTTGAATTTTTTAAGGTAGACACTACAAGGCCACTACTACCCTTTCACATGTGCACCTACTTGCTTTGTACCTCATTTGATTACATGTAATTGGCCTGAACTAGGGGGTAATAGTCCTCATTTTCTGCTTCTTGGCTATCCATACTAGAAAAATATCAACATTTTATCACATTACTTGAGAAAAGAAATAAAGGCATTTTCTCTTATTAATGCTTTCATATAATTCCCTTCTGAAGAAAGTTTTTAGAAGCCCACCCTGTGATAATTTATATTGTAGTAATGATGCCAGGTACATAGCAGGGAGTATTTAAAGAGAAAAAACAGCTCCTCCTTTGTGCTGATGGTCTTTTAAAGCAAGCTTTATTTCTCTAAGGCTCCTCTAAGGTATCCCCGTATACCTTTTTTGTTCTTTAAAACAAAACTTATATGGTACTTACTATATAGTAAACATATCAGCCACTGTTTTAAATTATTTACAAATATTAATTCATTTAATCATCATAACACCATACAAGCACTGTTATTATCTCTGTATTATAGGTGAGAAAACCGAAGCACAGGTCAAATAACCTGTTCAAGGTCTCACAGTTAGTAAGTGCAAGAGCAAGTGTTCCATCTCAGGCAGTCTAGCTCCAGAACCTTTGAAACCACTTGTCTTACACATAAGAATCATTGTAAACCAATAAGAACTTTCTTAAAGCTTTTTTGTAATCAACCTGGCCATGGGCCTTCGTCATCTCAGAAGCCTAGAGTAGAGTACTCTCCAGGAGCTGAGGAGGTAGCCAGTCTTCTCTCTAAAAAATATTACGTATTACCTTTTTCTGTTTTAAAGACAGGGATGTTCAGCTCCATTCTCCTTCATGGTTTATTTTATTGTTAGAAAAGAAAGGCTCTCAAATGTGATTCTTAAAAGTTGGGTTCAGTCAGATCGTACTTGCCCATTAGATACAGTATTTTAATTGATTGTCAGTTGATAATGATTCCTTATACTTTAGCTTTATTTTTTTTTTCAACTTCTGTAGTAATTTGTAAGCAAACATACAAAGTTCTTTGGTACTGTCGTGCAGACACCACCAGACTTTTCACAAAGAAGAGCTACTATTTTTGATTCCCCAGCCCTGTGGTTGGTATTTAGGGTGGTGTTCAGCAGTTCCTGATAGGGGCTCAGCTGCCCTCTCCACTGGGCCTCCCTGGGAGCCTGTGGGAGGAGGCAGGAAGCTTAAGGGTATTTTTTCATAAGTATGGAATTTCATATTTGGGACAGGCCTATGATTAACCAGTCCCTTCATAGTATTTTGAAAAGCTATTTAAATCTTAGTGAACCTACATGTAAAATAGGGAAAG